GGTGTTCACTGACATGGAAACCAGTAAACATATTTAGTGTTCGAACTAGTGATTAAAAATTGGACCTGAAATAAATTGTGTTTTGTGTAGGGTAATTAGAGTACCTGAGATGGACCTCACCATTTCAGAAAGTGTGACACCACCCATATTGTCAGACATAAGACCTAGAACTCTTCAAAATAGATATGAAGACTATTTTTCTAAATGGCGACTTGGTGGAAGATATCTATATGGAGCAACCTAAATGTTTTATAACCCTGGCGTTTAGTGCAAAGTGCACAAGCTCAAAAAGTCCATATATGGTCTCAAGCAGTCATCAAGACAGTGGTATATTAAATTCTCTATATATATTTTAGTGGTCTCCCTAGCGCGCGAAGTCACACACTCTAGTAAGTACCAATTGCCATTTTCCTCTTATTCAAAATCTCTCTCTCTCATCACAATTGCTACTTCCCCTTCTTCAAAATCCCTCTCTCTGTATTCCTCGGAATTGTTCATATTTGGATTCAGCAAAGGGATCTTATATCTCGTACTCAAGGTATGCCCCAAGTTTGCCTGCTGTCAAGATTTCTAGGGCTAGGAATTTCAGGTGTTTATAGTCTGGTTATGCTTTCTTTTATTGCATATTAGACTCCATCTTAGGTTTTTTGTGGCCTATTTTGGGGATAACTAGTTCATTTTTTTTGTGATATACCTGTCTCTTATTTGAGTCAGCGCTTCTTAATTTTGGATTTCATTTGTTTTCTATCTTTTGCTGTGGAAATGTTATTGAATTATTGGGTTTATTGGTCTTTGTTTCGATATTTTTTATCCGATACACCATGCATGAATAAATCAGATCTTAATCTATATTTCTTTATCGTTTTGCTTTTATTTTGCCACAATTTTGATATGATACACAATTGCTGAGGCTTCAGAGAGCCTTAGGTTTGTATTTTTCTGGAAATTTTGGGATTTTGAAAGTACTTTTTGAATGCTCTGAGTTCTCATAGAACAATTATATGAAATAAATGGAATCGTATCATATTTTAGAATAAGCTTACAGGCCACTTGAAAGAGAGAGGGGTTTTTCTCTTTTTCTTTTCTAAAGAATTAAGAATAAAATTGTTAAGAATATGCTTATGTCAAGTTTTTATGGTAGGATCTTTACACATGATTTTTTTAGTAGTTTTATTCGTGCCTTTTGCAATTTTATATATGCTTTCAACTTGAAGTGCTTGCTGGGGACATTATGAAGATCATGTGGTTCTTTGACATATATACGTGTTCTAACGGCTAGAGTTCAAGGTCATTTGAATTTCTTTTTTTTTTTTTTTTTTGTTTTCTTAAAAGGAAAAATTTATCAAAATACCCTGAGTGATGCAGTATTCAGCATTTTGCACAATTGTAACTATGCCAACTCATGATCATGTCTCTTTTGATACATATTTTGAAATTAAATTAAATGATGTGGTTAAAATATTAAATAGTTCATCTGTCATGGGTATTTCAATAAAATGCCCTTAAAATGATCGTATTTAAAAAAGCAATGGAGTTGTTGGGTTGATGTTTGTTAGATACAAGTCATAATCGGTTTCCATGCCACTTTGAATTTATCAATCGTCATCATCATAATCCAAGCCTTATCCCAATTATTTGGGGTTGGCTACATGAATCTTGTTCCTCCATTCTATTAAGGGCTATACCTTTAGTAAGATTAAAAATCACCATATCTTTTCTCACTACTTCTATTGATGTTTTTTTGTGCCTTCCCTTTGCCCATTTAGAGCCTTCCACCTTAGCCAAATTACACCTCCTAACCAGTGTTGTATTAGATCTTGTTGTACATGGCCATTCCACCTAACTCTACTTTTCTTCATCTTATCGCCTGTTGAAGTCACACCTAAGTTCCCTCATATGTATTCATTTTGAATTCTATCATTTCTTATTTTTTCACTCATCCTTCCAACATCCTCATCTCACGTATGCTTATCTTACATGTGTTGTTTGTTGACCACTCAACATTACATCCCATAAAGCATGGCTGGTCTTATAGTCATTATGTAGAACTTCCCCTTCAGTCTAATGGTAATGCCGTGATAACATAAAACTCCAAATACACATTTCCTCTTCGCCCACCTAGCTCTAATTCTATATACGACATTTTCCTCAATTTCGCAATTTTCTTGATTATCGAACCTGATATTGGAAACAATCTCTTGTAGGTATTTATTTACCATGAATTTTAACTACTTCCCCGTTTCTACTCCTATTATTACTAAATTTGTATTTTATATATTCTGTATGAGTCCGGCTGATTTTAAAACATTTAGATTCTAGAGCATCCCTCCAACACTCTGACTTTGTGTGAATGCTGCCTCTAGTCTCATCGATCAAAACTATATGGTCTGCGAACAACATACACTACAGTACCTCATATTGTAGGTGCTTGGTTAACTCATATATAACCAAAATAAAGAGATATGGGCTCAGTGCTGGCCCTTGATGTAGGCCCATTGTCGTTGAGAACTCACTTGTCTCTCACTAGTTGTCCGCACACTGGTTATCGCTCCCTCATATATATCTCTTGCTATGTCAATAGAGCCTTTGGTAACTCCTTGTTTTTCCAACACCGACCAAATTCAATCTCTAGTTACCATATTGTATGCTTTCTCTAAATAAATAAAGGACCATTTGGAGGTCTATTCTCTTCGCCCTAAACTTCTGAATTAGTTGCCTAAGTAGGAAAATGGCTTAGACAATTGACCTCCTTGGCATAATACCACATTGATTTTCTGATACACTTGTTTCACACATTAGTCGTTGCTCAACTACTCTCACCCACAACTTCATAGTCTAGTTCATAAGTTTAGTACTTCGATAGTTCGTACAATTCAATATGCCTTCTTTGTTCTTGTAAATAGTTACCATTGTGCTTTTTTCGTATTTGTCTGATATTTTCTTTCTTCTCAATACCTTGTTGAACGACTTGGTAAGCCAGGATATATCAATTTGTCTGATGCACTCCCAAATCTCTATCAGGATACCATCTGACCCTAAAGCCTTTCATATCTTCATCTTTCTCAAAGCTTCTTTCACTTTAGATATCTTAATCCTGCAAATGTAACTATGACCTCCACCCTCATTTATGTCAAATGTTCTTCCTTACGTTGTGTTCCCATAGTATTCGTTATTTGACGATTTTTTAAAAATAAATTATCCGCCTTTTCTTGACCTCGTCATCTTTCACCAAGATCTTTTAATCAACTTTCACCAGGATCTTTTGACTCTCGATCTTAATGCATCGAGGATCAGAGGATCCTGGTGCAATAATGTGGAGTTCCATGCTTTTATGCTTTTACTCCCATTTTTGTATTTGGGTAGACATGTACAGGTGTGCCTTAATAGTATAAACTAGTGTTCCAAAAAGCGGACCGCTCAGCGCCTAGGCAGCCTTGGCAGTCTAAAAGGCTTGGGTGGATTGCCTAGGCCTAGGTGGCCAAATTGGGTAGCAGTCCCTGGGTGGCCGCCTAGGTAGTACGGAACCCGCCTAGAGGTGGAATTTTTTTTTTCGATGTATTAATTTTTTTTGAAATATAAAGGTTTTGAAGGATGGGTTTTAGGTTCATTTCAAACCTTAACCCATAAGAACCCATTTTAGAGAGAAATAAATCTCAAGAAAACAAAATTTTGTGACTTTCATTGTATCAATGTGTTTTTCAAAGTTACGGAAAACAGATCCAAACACCATCCAGGTAGATTTTATTTAGTTTTGGAGTTTTATAATCCTATTAGAGGGTGTTTTGTATTATTTTAGAAACAAAAAACATCTAAGATGTGGGAGTTTGGAGTTTGTGCAATCAAAGTAAATGCAAAAAAATTGCATTATTTTGAAATGTCTTCAGGATCTAGTCGAAGTGGAGGTCTGGGTTGGAAATATGGATATAATCCGAATCCAAATGAAAAAAATTGCATTAGATACAATTTTTGTGAAAAAAATACGAAAGGGAGAATAAACCGGTTTAAGAAACATCTTAGCGGTATTAACGGGGATGTTGCCCATTGTAAAAATGTTCTTGGAGCTATCAGAGAGGAGATTAAGCAAAATATGAGTTCTATAAAACAAAAAATAGGAACAAAATTCTTGTCATTTGAATAGATCTATTTCTACTACTTCTAGAAGAAGTGATCTGGGTTAGAAGTATGGTTATAACCCAAAACCAAACGATAAAAATTTTATAAGGTGTAATTTTTGTGAAAAAGATACTGATTCAAGAAACATCTTGCCGGGTATTAAAGGGAGTGTTGCTTCTTGTAAAAAAATTCCTGAAGCTATTTAAGGTTGAGATTAGACAACTTCTGAATGTAAAAGAACCAGAAAATGATGAAAATGAGCTTTGTTTTGTGGAAATATCTTCTTGTAGTGGTGATTCGGGTGGGAAGCATGATTATAACCCGAATCCGAATGACAAAAATCGTCTTAAATGTAATCATTGTGGAAATGATACTAACGGGGGATTTATCGGTTTAAAAAATACTTTGCCAGTATTAAGGGGGATGTTGCCCCGTGTAAAAATGTTCTTGAGACTACAAGGGAGGAAATTATACAAGAGTTGAGTTCAGGGAAGCACAAAAAGATAGAAAAGTGTAGAACAGCCAAGACTCCTAGGGCCTCATTTGCACATACTAGTAAGAGGGAGGTAGAAGAAGAGGCGGTGGAAGAGGCAGATTCAGAAGAAACAAAGGAGGACGAGCGTTATATTGAAGAGGGAGATGACTCTGATGGTGATGGCATCGATTCAAATGCATATGATGAAGTTTACCCTATTCCTTTTGATGACGATGATGATGATGATGATGATGATGATGACGATGACTGAAGAGTGAAGACTCTTGGTGTTGAGTGTTGAGTGTTGACTGTTGAGTGTTAACTATTGTCTCCTAGACTGTATATTTTCTTATTTCTATACTTTTATTTTTTCTTATTTTTACTTTTTTTATTTTTAGTTTTTAGTTTTTAATTTCTGTATGGAACTTACACTTTATATGGCGCAACTTATACGGTAGTGTTTGGTTGTTTATTTTATTTCAAGCCCCCTCTTTGATATGCTGCTATATATTTAAAAGATCCTGGGTTGACTTCCCCACTTGCATCTCTATGTGAACATCTGTCCTCTTTTGCTTTTGTTTGAGTTGATTTCATTATTTGCATTTACATTGAAAGTTTCAATGTGCATTTGGAACTTTGACCTAGCTGAATATTGATGCTCAGTAATATTCATCATTTTGGTGCTTAGACTGATGACGTGCTTCCAAGTTTGGAAGAACAAGGAGTTCGCCAGTTATATCCTAAAGGGCCAAACATTGGTACGACTTCTCTTTCATTTTTTATTTTATTTGCTGGAGTGAAGCTCAAAAGTTCTCTGGGATATCTCCTTTATTAATAAGTTTTAATGGTGTTCTAGTTACATTCGGGATTTATGAATCATTCCAATCCTACATATTAACAGTGCTCTGGAAACCTTATTACCAAAGATTATAGAGTTTCCAATCCTTTTATTCACTACCAATTTCCTGTGTGTTTTCCACAACACTTGTACCTAGCGTTGGAGCCTTTTAAATTAGCAACTTTTTCACATTCAGCTTCTCAATAGTCATACCATCAATTTGACTTTATCCCACATATTTTGATTGTTTCTGTGCTGTCTTATCAACTGCATCTATGGACATAGCATGAACAGTATTCTTCTATTCCACTATGGGAGATGAGAGATACTTATCCAGGACATGTTCCCCATAGTCTCATAGTTTATGCACTCTCTACTTGCTGTCATCGTCTAGGGTTCCTTTCCATTTATTTTTTTGAGTAAAAGTTCCACTCCATTTATTTGATTTCCCTTGTGTGACGCTCCAGTAACAACCAAGTTTATGATTGTCAAGTTGTAGCAAAATTATAATACTGCATTGCAATGTATTAAAGGATATCAGTTATACTGCATGGGCATGCATTATTGCATGTCTTGGTTTTGGTCTCTTTCATTAGATTTTCTCTTAACATATTATTAGTGATTAGAGCTGGCAAAGGGCCAGGCAAGAGATGGCGCGTCCTGCCTGAAAATAAACCACAACTTGTGACCTGGGCCCAGCCCGATTTATATAATTGAGGATCAAGACTGGCCCAGCCCAACCCAACCCAAAAAATATTGTGGCAGACTGGGCCTGTTGTGGGCCTATTTTTGGTGGTGTAATAAATTATGCTAATTATATATAAATGAACACTGATTTTCTGGCCGTTTAGCCTAGCCCGAAAAATGTTCAGGCTTAAAATGCATTCCCGAGCTTGGTTTGGTGGCTTAAAGTATGGCCCAAAGCCTGCTGGCTGCTAGGCCTGGCTCGTTTGGCAGCCCCGCTAGCAATTGAATGCTTCTGTGAAAGACAAAAGGTTTTGATCTCTGCCAATTCCTTCTCTTTCAAAGTATTAAAAGTAAAAGAAATGATAAGAATAAAAAATCCAAAAAAAAAAAGAAAGTTTGATAAGAATTTATGAAAAATAATTGATGTTTATGTATGATTGCTTGTGACACAGATTACAAGAAGGAACTGAGAGCACTGAACCGAGAGTTGCAGCTTCATCTATTGGGACTTGCAGATGTGCTTGTTGAGCGACCATCTCAGTATGCATGGAGAGTGGAAGAGATATCTCTTATTTTTCGGAACTTGCACCATCTCCTCAATTCTTTGCGTCCTCACCAAGTGAATATTTTGGTTCAATGTATTGGACAGATTCCTTCATTTTTTTTTTCCTTTCCTTATGGCTGATATTTTTACCTTTTGAACAGGCCAGAGCTACACTAATTCACATTTTAGAACTTCAAATACAATGTCGTAAACAAGCAGTGGAAGATATTAAGAGGTATTTCATGTTTTTAATTCTTCTTACTCTTTGAAAACATCCATGGAATCTCCCTTGCTTTATGCTGTTAGCATTAACTGGTTGTCATGTGCATAGAATTGCAATGGATTATTCTCTTATTTATAAATTTAATGGGAATTGCATTAAATTATTGCCCATTAAATTATTGGAATCGATAAAATTTCTTTTTTTGTGATTTTCATTTAGAAGCACGTAACACTGCAGCTTTGTTTTCTTTGAGCGAAATATCTTGGAGCTCAGTGTTACTGCTTTTGCAGATATAAATGGAAGTAGCACCAGATTGTTTGTGTGAACTTTGTGCCATGACTGGAATTTTAGATTCGTACTAAAAATAGAACTTAGATATATAAAATGACGTGATGCATGATCTTCTGCTTGTTATATTGGAATATATTTTAGTACAAATGTTAATATTAACATACGCACCTTATCGTAATAGTAGCAATATATGTTAACATGTCTGAACTTTGTAGCGTAGTATAATCAAAAGGACCATTGTCAAAACTCTACTCCATGTGATAGTTGCTGTCAAGTGAAGTAATGGAGGATGGAGAGTGGGAAAAGCCGATGGTGTCAATCTTTGTTCCGGTGAGTCCCACTCTCTCCATCGCTGTCCATCATCTCATCGTCTTTATAAAAGTTCAAACTCATTCACCTAGAGGGAGTTTTGACTCAGGTGATGTGTGTGGTTGAGTGAGTTCGATGACAATTTTAAAATATTTAAAACTTGGTCATTAGTATTTGTGGATAAAATGGACTGAGGTCAGTTGGGCATTGTTAAATTTTTCATGTTTTTTTATTAAATGCAGGTATCATGCTACTGATAGAAAAGTAGTGGGTCATTCTAAAAAGATTGAATTCCCTAAAATTCTTGAGCGTCATGGCACTCTTGTTCTATTACTTAGTTGTTCTATGCTTAAAAGATTAAATAAACCTTATTTTCATGGTATTTTGTTTCTATATGGGCCTTTCATATCAAGGACCGGCCTGATTTCGAGTTGTGATCCATTTGGTGGTCCTTGGATTCTTTTGTGTGTGAGGATTGAGTCAGAGAAACTTCACCCTTAAACAAGTATTTTATCAAAAAATAGGAGCCTCCATGGCTCTCTTTTTACTCTCCTTCTATCTCTTTAATCAAGATTTTTATTTTTGTCTTCTCATTTTATTTAAAATGTGTTTACCTTTTCATTGCTTACTATTTCTTTGCTTCTCATGTTTGATAAGTTCTCTTGGTGATTTCTTCAGGATTCAGCATATGGTCCTCTTCCCTCCCCCCCTTGTCGCTGTTTCTTGCTTTTTCACTTGGGTGTTCAGAAGAAGAGAAGAAGCGCAGCAGCTGCTCAAAGAATCTCTTGAAACCCTAGATGGACACTTGCCTTGAACTGTATTTCTGATAACTATATTTGCCGGGTACATATTATCCATGTTCTATATTAAGATGGATTTTGCGTAGCCACTGCCCACTTGAGCTTGTTTCCTCTGTAAGAGTTAATAAGTTGCCATAATCAAAGATGAAAGAACAAAGACGAGGTTCATGGGTCCAAAGTTATACTTGCGCTCAATGTTCTCTCTCTCTAGAGGCAGGCTTCTGAAGTCTCCACTTCTTTGGTACTCTCTCTCTCTCT